TCGGACTAATTTCCACAGACTTTCAAGAATTGTAAGTTGTCGAGTCGCGTCTTAAGCGATTCAGATTTCCTCCAGCATTTACGTACATGCTCGATTTATAATTTCGTAGCCCATCGTTCGATACATGTATGTGTGTGTAATGTCGTGTACTTAGGTGGAATCCCGGTCGAACAGACGCCGCAGATCGTTCTGCTGACGTTCGACGACGCGGTGAACGATCTGAACAGACCGTTGTACACCGATCTATTCGAGAACGGCCGTAAGAATCCGAACGGCTGTCCGATAACGGCCACGTTCTATGTTTCGCACGAGTGGACCGATTATAGCCAGGTGCAAAATCTTTACGCGGACGGCCACGAAATGGCATCGCACACGGTCTCGTAAGTTGAAAGAACGGGATGAAAAAGTCTGTCTAAGTCGCAGCTTCTTCTCTCACTCTGGTTTCCGTACATCGACCGAGCCAAGTTACGGATATATCGCACTAATTCGTCGCTCGCGTACTATAATACATGGTTCATCGAACACGCCATCGCCTGCGCCTCTCTTCGACTACCGTTCTAGATGCTCTAGAGAGACTCTAGGATCTAGACGAATACCAGTCGCTGTGAATCTGTACACTGTACATTGTTTAGAAAACTTGAAGCACCTTTTCTCTTGGATATATACTTTGGATATGCAAATGTCAAATATTCGTCTGTTTGTCGTGTTCTTTGAGCTACTAACTAACGTGCTTCAGAGTTTCGAGCAGAGGCGCACTGATCATCTGCGCTGAATCCCGAGGAGGGACTTCTCGGGACGCTTCGTTCCATCGACGATCCTCTAATTTCTAAAACGCTGAAACGCGGGGCAAACTGGAGCAACATCCAGCGGAGTCGACGACGCGCGGAAAAGAAAAGCTAATCTAAAAGTAAGATTCGGCATTCTAGCTTGACGCTTCACTCGTCTAGTCTAGTCTTGAGAGTAGTAGGACGGACAGGAAAGAAAGGAATCGATCGTATCGCCGTATGCGATGTCCTCCGACGATCGTGTTGTTCGGAAGGGAAGCGAACGACTTGTTTCATCGACACGCACCGCAGCGTTTTCGTTGTTGGAGGAACGACAGCCTCTCTCTTCGCGGTGCTAGACACGGAATATCGGAATATCGTGTTTCCGGAACAAATTGCTCCGCTTGCATTGCCAGCGCCGCGTTACAGCTTCGGCCAGTAGGCAATTAGAGGATCGCCGGGGATCGCGATAAAACGTGAATTGCGACGCACGGCTGGTGAAACCGGGCGCGATCGGGAGATGAACGGTGACACGGGTCGCGAGGCAATTTCACCAGCTGTGCCTGTGCCTACTGCACCTGTGCCGTGTATACTAATGACGCGCACTAACCGCAACTTTTTCTTTCTTTCCTCTCTTCTTTCGCTCTCTTCTTTCTCTTTCACTCTCTCTCTCTCTCTCTCTCTCTGTACGCATCACTCTTTCTCGATCATCCT